GACGTTGGTACGAGTGTCTACAAACGTCGCCTAAAGTAATTGATTTTACCCGGCAGAACGAAAGAAGGAAACTCCGCTTTTCAGTCGTCTTGGGCACTCGTTTTTTGACAAACAATGACCTTTCAGAGGTCAAATTGCTGTCAAGAATATGAATTGGCTGCTTCGCAGCAATAAGTCTTTGTATCCCTTAAATTGTTAAAATTTTCAGGGGCTTCCCCTTGGACCACTTTTGGAACCGTTTAATCAAAGCTCGACCACACCCACCTTAATTTCTTAGGGGAAATCTGACCCCTCTTCGGGGAATCGGTCCCCCCCCCCCATCGGGGACCCCGCTAGAGCTATAAATTAACTCTTATTTATTATAGTACTGCTTATGTTATTTTAACCAGGAAATGAATGGGTTCGAGCATTCAAAGGGGTCAGTATACCAACAGGTGGTAGTAGTATTTATAATGCTTGGATTTCCGGTACAGAATCATCGGATAGCCACGCCCATACGTTTCTTGCGAGTAATACGCATTACAGAAACACGCCAATACTTAACAATTGGTCTACATTTGGTATTACAAAGGTAATTATTTATAAACATCTTTTTTGTAATTATCATACAGTATATAATTTCATATCATATTTTACATCATATCATATATCACATCACAGGACGTGATGTTATATCACATTTTATAACATCATGCCCTATCTTACACATCCATATAAATCATCTTGCGGTAATGTATAAATTTTTAACGTTAAAGGGGAATCTATTTTTTTTGTATTTCATATCGGAGATTTTCGAATAAATATATAAATTTAAAAAAAAGAAATATGTCATATATTTGGTATTTATATTTCTTTAATATTCTAGGTGAGACTGACATTATTTTCTGCATTTAATGAGGAACTGTTGTCAGTTATTTTCAACGGTGTTGGCACGACAACCACGTCTTGGTTCTCAAGTGAAAACATTGAAAGTTCGCCATGGAACGACATTAAAAGCACTACTTTTAATTACTTTTCTGTAACAGGAGATAGTAGTTTTGGGTAGGTTGATGTTTTGTATATTCAATTCAAAACAAGTTTTTTTATACGGGTATAAATAAAAGCGTTTACCTGTACTCAGGGGCGTATCTAGGATAAAGCCTTGAACTTGGGTGCTGATGGGAGGGCGAAGATGTAGTGGGGGGACTCAATGATCAGTTGAGGGGGCGCCAACTCGCAAAATAAGTTGATTTGAAGTGATTTTCAACTATTTGACCGTGATATTTATTTATTTATTTATTTTGGAGGGGCGTGCACCCCACCCCCACGCACCCCTAGACACGACACTGCCTGTATTTCTGAAACTCAGTGGGCCCAGCAAAAACAGCAGAAGCTACTATAATGGGGAAGTTACTCGAAATTCATCTAGTACCTTGCCCTAAATGCATGCTTTCTTTTCACCTATACGATTTAAGGTATAGCCCTAGATTTTATCGAACGTCGTACGTTTAAGAGTTAAGTTTGACGTATTAACTTTGGTGCCGTTGGCAAGCCTTTATGCCTAGCCATGATGAGATTGTTTTAATAATGATCTGCTCAATCTGCATAACCCAAAAGCTCAAAGGCGCACAAACTTTATTAAATTTTGCCGTGACATGGATAAGGGTGAAACAGGCTAATTTCTCCCTGACATATTTCAAAAAAAACATCTGAAGAGCCTGGCAATAGCAGACTTAATCCTGTTGCGGTTTTTAGCTGACAGTAGAATACATTTTTTCCAATTCTATTTCTTAAGGTCACACATATTGGACCTTTACGCTAAGCCCCGCACCTCAGATATTTTTGCTAAAGTCCCACAAATTGACAGTGTAAAAACATACGCAAACACGTTTACCTGTGGACAGCATGTGTGTTTGTAAGACACGCGTATTCCTAACACTGTTCTGATTGGTCAGAGTTTGATTGACATCTATAAAATAAATAGTCATTTGTAATAAATTAAGTAGCTATGTCAGTTTTGAGTTTTGCATTTCCACCAATCTCCTTTGGTACATAATATTTATAAATATAAGATTGTACTCCATGGACAAAATAATACATCATACACACTTTGCATTACAGAAGGAGATTCTACATAAATAAACACTACGGAGGCTGTTCAAACGACAATGGATGGTTGATTGTTGAAGAGGGAACTAATTGTAAAGAATATGAAGGTTACAACACCAGTCCCAGAATACTGTATAGTCGTGCAAGTTCAAGTCAATTTTGGTTCGCAGGAGGTGAGTAAAACAGTGGCTAGCAATTTTCCTTGATCGCACCGTTCCACTAAGCCTCGTAATGTTTGTTGCAAGGTCCTACGAACGACAGCGTAAACATACGTCAGCACGTACTCCTTACCCTAGACTACATTCTACTTTACCGTAATTAGTGAAAACTATATTTTGAAAAAATCGATTTTGAGCGTTCGACTTCTTTCCACCAACCAGACGCTGGTGGAGCTCTCAGGAAAAAAGGCTCCTGATAGGATTATACTGCAGAAACTAGGTTAAAATTACTCTAAACATTATCGGACAAGTTGCTATCAACCTACCACACCATGAACTGAAATAAACCTTAACACATTCCATTTTACAGAAACATTGCACTACCACAGTATAGAGTATATCTGCTCAAGCGCAATAATCAATGAATTAAGGGCTTGTGTGCAAGTCTATCCAAGACCCTAACGATAACGCATTCAGATTGGTCTGTTTGATTGGCTCACCGGGGAGTTCCATTGTATCACAAACATACGTATCATACACGAACATATCTAAAAAAAAAACCACGCATATACATCTCCTTTCATTTGGATTATATAATGCTGTACAAAGTTTTCTACAATTTGTATCGTTATAAACGTATATGAACTCCTCTCTTTTGCAGACATTGGTACAGCAAGAGCAATGACAATTGATGTGAAAATGGGATAGCAAGACTGCTGCAACTGTAGTGTCTTTTTATATTATATTATATATATATATATATATTCAGGTTTTAGTCTAATACCTTCAAAATTTCAAAAATATCCTTTTATGCTCTCATTTATCATTTATGCATTCATAGGAGTGGTATCAAAATTGCACAATAATTAGCTCGTTTAGTCAAAAAAACTTATTGTGAGGTTGGCGTAGCGAAGAGGAAAAGTTGCGAAGATAGCGATGTTGGTATTAAATAGTGCTGAAAGTATATGGAAGGCGTCTTACATGAATTTTATTACTGTATTGCTTTCTTTGAAATCCGATTGTGAAACCGTGTGTATAAGCAAGGAGGTATAATATTTTATTTTATTTATAATTTTTTTCATAAATCCTTGGTATGAGCTGCCAGCTAGGAGGTATAATATTTTATTTTATTTCTATTTTTTTTTCATAAATCCTAGGTATGAGCTGCTAGCTAGGCCTAGATCTGCAGGTTGAGGTAATGTGTAAACGCTTGCTATTGTATTAGAAATGATTTTATGGCAATGACGATCTATCTAGGCCTTAGCCTTATGTCCTTGTAGTAGGGCCTATAATTTAAACAAGCTGCGTATTGCCATTTTAAATCAATACAGACCTAGGGCCTAGCCCCAGGGCCTAGGCCTAGGGGTATGGTAGGCATGCAACTTTCATATATTTATATACTCTAAGGTCTAGAGGTCAAAGTTGTTGAAACAGAGGCCATATAAAAAAAACTGATGGTCGGTAGGCAGAGAATTGTTTTATTTATTTATTTATTTCAATCTGTAATGAAACCACCCCTTGATACATGCCAAGTTTTCAAATCCCCATGGAGAGCAAGGCCTCATTTTTAATTGACAAATCTTGCAGTGTAGAGTTTGATTAGGTGGAATTGATACACTCCAACAACTCCCTGTACGAACAAACAAATGAAAAACAAAATACTTACAAAAAATAAAAAATATAATAAAACATAGGCCTAGCCGAAGTTAAATTGTGGGCGGAAAGACGATATTTTCGTGATTCTTTTATGTAGGAAGGGGACGATCAACAACATATTTTTTTACATGGCCTTATTATAGTCAAACCACAGGAATTTAATTGACTGTGTAAACAATATCACGTGAACAAAACAGCACAAAATCCAGAGTAAATATCGACAGTAAAGTCATTATTTTTCCCTCAATTAAGCTGAAATATGGAATTATGTTCACTTCGTGAGATGAAGACTTTGATGATCTATGTTGTTACAGTTTTTCAGACCGATAAGTTCTGAATCATAGACGTTATCTGACGTAAGGCCTAATAGGTTAACACTGTAATTTTAGGCTTTGAAATAAGCATAATTATAATATAGATACAAGAAAAATATTTATATCAGTCATTCAAAACCAAATATTGCAAGGATTACTGAGATGTGTGGTTATGACACTCGCCTTGACAGGTTCAAATCCTGTCGGAGGCCTTTTATTACACAATTTCGTTTATTTATTCATAGAACAATTCATCATAAATAATAATAATACACATTTTTAAAGCGCCTATTAAAGCAAACAAAACTGCTTGTCACCGTTGAGAGCTATGCTACACGATGTATTATCATGTCCTTTATTCGAGTACTGTATTTACATTTCTTTTATGATATATAACAGTGTTAACATCTAGACCTATCTTGATTTATATTATATGTGTCACTAATTCCTACTTGACGTATTTCTGAGCGGTAAAGAAATGGCTAGGAATCCCTCATTGACATACAAAATATAAACACAGTTCTCAATGTTGTAACACAACTCTCAAATAAACCGTTTTATTCCGTGTAAACTCCAACATAAATCCGGTCTCAAAACAACACCAAATAACATTCACATTAATATCAGCTTCAAAAAAAGAGTCCCAGAAAGAAACCCTTTGATGTAATATACATGAGCCCTAGAACTCAGAGTCATCCAGAGCATTCTATTTTACTTAAGTTCCTCATTAATCAACTTACATCATAATTAACCAATAGGCTCCATGTTACTACAGTACTTATAGGTCTATCCAGAAGGTTCCAAACATTACTCTTAGATTCCACATGGTCTTTTGTGTTTCTATAAGGCATTGCAAGCAAAAAAAAAAGTTGTTGATCGTCCCCTTCCTCTTTAAAAAAAATCACCCGACCAATTTTTTTTTAAAGATTATTTTCGCAAAACCTCCCTCCCTACCGACTTTTTTTTTTTTTTTTTTTTTTTTAAAGGACGATCAACAACTCTTTTTTTTTTTTTACATGGCCTACTTACCAATGTGGTTTGGTCAAATAAATGTTATTCTAGAATGTTCTATGTATTAGATATGTTACAATAAGTAAAGGAATGGTAATTCAATACATATGCTATTATTTGTTTCCAGCCATACCTATTGTGTAATGGAGTGTATCTGATGTCATTTGAATCTGTTCAACCATGAAGCCTCTCTGGTGTAATGGTTATGACGCTCACCTTGACAGCGAGAGGTCGCAGGTTCAATTCCCCTGAGAAGCATTTTATTACACAATTTCTTTATTCATATATTTATAGGACAACGTTCGTTGAGAGCTATGCTACGATGTATCATGGAGGAAAGAAAATTTTCTTTCCTCCATGGATGTATTATCATGTCCTATATTCGAACACTGTATTTACCTTTCCATTGATTATATATATA